GTGGTATTACTGTATCAGTGTGGATCAATGATAAATGTGCAGTGGTATTACTGTATCCATGTGGACCAATGATAAGTGTGCAGTGGTATTACTGTATTCGCGTGGACCAATGGAAAGTGTGCAGTGGTATTACTGTATCAGTGTGGACCAATGGAAAGTGTGCAGTGGTATTACTGTATCAGTGTGGACCAATGATAAGTGTACAGTGGTATTACTGTATCAGTGTGGACCAATGGTAAGTGTGTACTAGTGGTATTACTGTATCAGTATGGACCAATGATAAGTGTATAGTAGTATTACTGTATTATCAGTATGGACTAATGTATTTCCTATTAGGTAAAATATGTGCTTTGGAAAAAAAACATGTCTGGAAATTTAAAATTATACAAATACATACAATTTATGTACTCATTTAAATCTTGTCCGTTTTTAGGCTTCCTTCTTTTGAGATATTCAGAATATGGTTATAAACCCATTATAAAACAATTACGCTGGTTCCAGGTAAGACTTGAATAAATTTCTACAATTTAGTTCCACACTATACTGTTTATTACTGTAGCTATATTTCTACCATGGCAGTTGTAGCTATATTTCTACCATGGCAGCTGTAGCTATATTTCTACCATGGCAGATGTAGCTATATTTCTACCATGGCAGCTGTAGCTATATTTCTACCATGGCAGCTGTAGCTATATTTCTACCATGGCAGCTGTAGCTATATTTCTACCATGGCAGCTTGTAGCTATATTTCTACCATGGCAGCTGTAGCTATATTTCTACCATGGCAGCTGTAGCTATATTTCTACCATGGCAGCTGTAGCTATATTTCTACCATGGCAGCTGTAGCTATATTTCTACCATGGCAGCTGTAGCTATATTTCTACCATGGCAGCTGTAGCTATATTTCTACCATGGCAGCTGTAGCTATATTTCTACCATGGCAGCTGTAGCTATATTTCTACCATGGCAGCTGTAGCCATATTTCTACCATGGCAGCTGTAGCCATATTTCTACCATGGCAGCTGTAGCTATATTTCTACCATGGCAGCTGTAGCTATATTTCTACCATGGCAGCTGTAGCTATATTTCTACCATGGCAGATGTAGC